TTAGGATGGACAAACATTAGGATAGCCAAACATTAGGATGGCCAAACATTAGGATGGCCAAACATTAGGATGGCCAAACATTAGGATGGCCAAACATTAGGATAGCCAAACATTAGGATGGCCAAACATTAGGATGGCCAAACATTAGGATGGCCAAACATTAGGATGGCCAAACATTAGGATGGCCAAACATTAGGATGGCCAAACATTAGGATAGCCAAACATTAGGATAGCCAAACATTAGGATGGCCAAACATTAGGATGGCCAAACATTAGGATGGCCAAACTATTTTAAATAAATGATGATTGTAAGTTGTGACAATTATTTCTGTGATGGGGGTTAGTTTTAGGGTTAGTTTTGTGATGAGGGTTAGTTTAGGGTTATTTCTGTGATGAGGGTTAGTTTAGGGTTATTTCTGTGATGAGGGTTAGTTTAGGGTTATTTCTGTGATGAGGGTTAGTTTAGGGTTATTTCTGTGATGAGGGTTAGTGTTAGTTCTGAGAAAAAGAATTGAAATGGTTGATGTAGACAAATTTCAACTTAAAAAAAACCTAGCAGCTGATGACTGGTACAAGACTGATGGCTTCTGACCTAGATTTCTCTGATGTAATGGCGGTGTGTAGGGCCAGCTTTACTGGCCTAGTTTTCCAACTGCTGTCTGGATGCATGGCGTGGTGCATGCGCTGCACAACACAACCTGCCTGAGTGTGGGGGAGGGGGGGAGACATGCAGGTCTGTCTGGCTTGTTTCATTCTTCCCAGTGCTGGCTGTGTTGTGTGTGTTGTGTGTGGCCCCTCACCATGGGATCAACACATTACATTACTCACTCATTTTCTTGATGGATTTCCACTTTTCATTAGCTGAAAATTTGCTGTAAGAATCTCCAACATTTCATTCTCTTATTTATTGTAAGGATGACACATGTTACTGTTATTGTACGGATCACTAACTTGATCGCGTCCTCTCTACTTAGTGTGGAGCCTACATAGTGCCTCAACCATATTCTTTTTTTTTTTGTGGAATTTTTTTCCCAAGACATCCATAGTCAAAATTATTATAAGCACTAGACTTATAATTATAAAGACAATGCTTGTTAAAATTATTATAAGCACCAGACTTATAATTATAAGGACAATGCTTGTTAAAATTATTATAAGCACCAGACTTATAATTATAAGGACAATGCTTGTTAAAATTATTATAAGCACCAGACTAATAATTATAAGGACAATGCTTGTTAAAATTATTATAAGCACCAGACTTATAATTATAATGACAATGCTTGTTAAAATTATTATAAGCACCAGACTTATAATTATAATGACAATGCTTGTTAAAATTATACTAAGGATGACATTTGCTAAAGTTATTGTGAGGATCCAATTGATTCAAATCAATAACTCAAGTCCCACTAGTACCCATACAAGTTATATGACAGACTAGTCAAAGTCACAAATCATATGATGAACAGACTAGTCAAAGTCACAAGTCATATGATAAACAGACTAGTCAAAGTCACAAGTCATATGATGAACAGACTAGTCAAAGTCACAAGTCATATGATAAACAGACTAGTCAAAGTCACAAGTCATATGATAAACAGACTAGTCAAAGTCACAAGTCATATGATAAGCAGACTAGTCAAAGTCACAAGTCATATGATAAACAGGCTAGTCAAAGTCACAAGTCATATGATGAACAGACAAGTCAAAGTCACAAGTCATATGATGAACAGACTAGTCAAAGTCACAAGTCATAAACAGACTAGTCAAAGTTACAAGTCATGTGATGAACAGACTAGTCAAAGTCACAAGTCATATGATAAACAGGCTAGTCAAAGTCACAAGTCATATGATGAACAGACAAGTCAAAGTCACAAGTCATATGATGAACAGACTAGTCAAAGTCACAAGTCATAAACAGACTAGTCAAAGTTACAAGTCATGTGATGAACAGACTAGTCAAAGTCACAAGTCATATGATAAACAGGCTAGTCAAAGTCACAAGTCATATGATGAACAGACAAGTCAAAGTCACAAGTCATATGATGAACAGACTAGTCAAAGTCACAAGTCATAAACAGACTAGTCAAAGTTACAAGTCATATGATAAACAGACTAGTCAAAGTCACAAATCATATGATGAACAGACTAGTCAAAGTCACAAGTCATATGATAAACAGACTAGTCAAAGTCACAAGTCATATGATAAACAGACTAGTCAAAGTCACAAGTCATATGATAAGCAGACTAGTCAAAGTCACAAGTCATATGATGAACAGACTAGTCAAAGTCACAAGTCATATGATAAACAGACTAGTCAAAGTCACAAGTCATATGATAAACAGACTAGTCAAAGTCACAAGTCATATGATAAACAGACTAGTCAAAGTCACAATGTTCATAAATCAGTTGAAATTGTTAATATTGGTTCTGATTAAAATCGTTAATAGACTAACTCCAACTAAAATTGATTAAAATCATTAATTCTGTTTTCTTACACTAACCCCAACTAAAAATTTGGCTACAGGACATTACCTTTACCCCCTGTAACAATTACCCCCTGTTAATTTCTTCTTCCCCCCCCCCCCCCCCCCCCCCCCTCCATCCACCATGATAGAATCCTGATTCTAACTCCTACTCTATACCAATATATTACCTTAATCCTAACCTTAAGACAAAGACGAAAAATGTAAGAATTCACCTCTCCCTAAAATAAACCCAAAACATAACACATTGATTTAAGCCTAACCCTGATCCTAACCCTCGACTTAGACCTAGCCCAATCTCAAACCCTAGCTCTAACCCTAGACTTAGACCTAGCCCAATCTCAAACCCTAGCTCTAACCCTCGACTTAGACCTAGCCCAATCTCAAACCCTAGCTCTAACCCTAGACTTAGACCTAGCCCAATCTCAAACCCTAGCTCTAACCCTAGACTTAGACCTAGCCCAATCTCAAACCCTAGCTCTAACCCTAGACTTAGACCTAGCCCAATCTCAAACCCTAGCTCTAACCCTAGACTTAGACCTAGCCCAATCTCAAACCCTAGCTCTAACCCTCGACTTAGACCTAGCCCAATCTCAAACCCTAGCTTTAACCCTCACTGAACCTTAAGCTATGACTGGGGGTTAATGTCCTACTGGGCTGGGGGTAATGACGGGGGGGGGGGGGGTGTAATGCCCTGTTCCCCTGAAATATAATGTGTTATAAAATTATCTTATTAATGCCATTTGCACTATTAAAATAAAAAAAACCATAGATCTAATTGGTTTCAAATCTCAAACCTACTTCTAAAACCTACTTCTAAAACCTACTTCTAAAACCTACTTCTAAAACCTACTTCTAAAACCTACTTCTAAAACCTACTTCTAAAACCTACTTCTAAAACCTACTTCTAAAACCTGCTACTAAAACCTACTACTAAAACCTAAAATTGCAGTTTAGGGAATAAAACAAATATCTGTTCAAAATTCGTAATTTGTGGGCCAATAAATAGAAGCAAACTATGGTGCATTTGTTTGTTTTAAAGAGTGTGATAGAATATAGATAAAATGTGGTATTAAGGTGCATTTGTTTGTTTTAAAGGTATTAAGGTGCATTTGTTTGCTTTAAAGGTATTAAGGTGCATTTGTTTGTTTTAAAGAGTGTGATAGAATATAGATAAAATGTGGTATTAAGGTGCATTTGTTTGTTTTAAAGGTATTAAGGTGCATTTGTTTGCTTTAAAGGTATTAAGGTGCATTTGTTTGTTTTAAAGAGTGTGATAGAATATGGATAAAATGTGGTATTAAGGTGCATTTGTTTGTTTTAAAGGTATTAAGGTGCATTTGTTTGCTTTAAAGGTATTAAGGTGCATTTGTTTGTTTTAAAGAGTGTGATAGAATGTGTCTTTCACTAAATTAAACCAGGCTGGTCCTACGATATAGTGCCATTCCAAGCTTTGGGCCATGAGCACTATGGCACCCACATTACCTTCAAGGAGCACCCTATAATATTGTCAAGGTGGCACACAACATTGGTTGACTAAAGCGAGCCAGGGACATATTGTCCCTGCACTAGTGGGGGGGGGGGTCACGAGAGCACCCTGCTATGTCCACTTGGGTGGTCACCAAAGTCTACCTCACTATTATGGTTAGTGATTAAAATGCACTCAAGGCTTTCATGCAGTAGTGTAGGTAAACCCATGCCCCGATAAATAGGATGCAAGCACAGGCATTGTTTACATTTAAATAACTCAGTTTTAGAAAACAAGATCACGAGTCTAAGACCATAGGAGTAGTAATGCAATGATGAAACCTTAAAATTTTACTTTCTTCTATCGCTGCATGCTAGTTTCTATTGAAAACCTGTTACGTAATGATAAAGTGATAGTACAACATAAAAAAATAGGACCTAATATGATAAATTGTAGAAAATCAATTCTGTTTTCACGTTCTGCAATGACATTTGCTATTCTGTCCTCTTTCTGTAAATATTGTTGGGGCGGGTTTTTTTTTTTTTTCGTTTTTTTATGGCTCAGCAAGCAATATTGTCTCCATCTCTACTTCCACTCTTCTTTGTTCTTGTTTTAGTTTTTTAAGCAAACAAAATGACTGCAGGGTATTCTTTTCCGACGATTACCTGCCACCTCCTGTGCCACCCTTCAACCATGATTTGGGTCCTTGGAATCCCATTGAAATAATTGTAATAGAAATATGGTGACAGAATGTGAGAGAATATAAACATTTTGCTTATTTCCTCTAACTGTTGGCGTATCGAAGCATTTACCTCTGAGAGGAATAACAACTGGAGCCACAAACATCAATGTCTGTCTTCAGTCTGCTGTAAATGTCTGACCGTTAAATGACAGCACAACTAACTAACATGCATATACCAGTGATTTAATAAAATGACCCCTTCCCCCCTCCACTACCACCATTGAATGCCTTGATGACATGCCCCCACACCCACCCTCCCCACCAGCACACAACTGATGGCCTATGACCTTCCTTCCTTCAGTGAAGCACCTGACTGCAAGTCTCCTAAGGTTGAGAGGTGCGGGGAGGGCCGGATGGTTTCTCCCAGTTCATGTATGCAAGTCCTGCCCTTAGGATGTTCTGGGGAAGTTCTACAGGCAGCCACCTCAACCACCCCTGAGAGCTTCCTCATGGATGGGCCCAGCCCACCCCTGCACATGAAGCAGGAGATGGGGGCTGCTGGTAAGTGGGCTTGACATCACATAGTAGATGGCCTTCTGGGAGAGATCACATTTAGGTGGGCTTGGGGGGGGGGGGGGTCAGATTATACTTGGGCTTAAGGGGGGAGAATAAAATGGGCTTATAGGGTATGAAGTAGGTGGGCTTATGGGAGTGTAAAGTAGGTGGGCTGCTGATAACGATGTGCTCCCAGTTTCAGGAAGTCAGGCCAAGCTATGCCAGGTGTGTAATGACAACGCTTCAGGCTTCCACTATGGCGTCTGGTCCTGTGAGGGCTGCAAGGCTTTCTTCAAGAGAAGTATACAAGGTATGTCCTCATCACATACAAGGTATGTCCTCATCACATACAAGGTATGTCCTCATCACATACAAGGTATGTCCTCATCACATACAAGGTATGTCCTCAACACATACAAGGTATGTCCTCATCACATACAAGGTATGTCCTCATCACATACAAGGTATGTCCTCATCACATACAAGGTATGTCCTCAACACATACAAGGTATGTCCTCATCACATACAAGGTATGTCCTCATCACATACAAGGTATGTCCTCAACACATACAAGGTATGTCCTCATCACATACAAGGTATGTCCTCATCACATACAAGGTATGTCCTCATCACATACAAGGTATGTCCTCAACACATACAAGGTATGTCCTCATCACATACAAGGTATGTCCTCATCACATACAAGGTATGTCCTCATCACATACAAGGTATGTCCTCATCACATACAAGCTCCATCTCTCTATAGCAATATGGGCAACACATACAAGCTCCATCTCTCTATAGTAATATGGGCAACACATACAAGCTCCATCTCTCTATAGTAATATGGGCAACACATACAACAAGCTCCATCTCTCTATAGTAATATGGGCAACACATACAAGCTCCATCTCTCTATAGCAATATGGGCAACACATACAACAAGCTCCATCTCTCTATAGTAATATGGGCAACACATACAACAAGCTCCATCTCTCTATAGTAATATGGGCAACACATACAAGCTCCATCTCTCTATAGTAATATGGGCAACACATACAACAAGCTCCATCTCTCTATAGTAATATGGGCAACACATACAAGCTCCATCTCTCTTTAGCATTATGGGCAACACATACAACAAGCTCCATCTCTCTATAGCACCAAATGTCATAGTGTTGAACAGATGGCACTAAATGTCATAGTGTTGAACAGATGGCACCAAATGTCATAGTGTTGAGCAGATGGCACCAAATGTCAGTGTTGAACAGATGGCACCAAATGTCATAGTGTTGACATATGGCACCAAATGTCATAGTGTTGAACAGATGGCACCAAATGTCATAGTGTTGAACAGATGGCACCAAATGTCATAGTGTTGAACAGATGGCACCAAATGTCATAGTGTTGACATATGGCACCAAATGTCATAGTATTGAGCAGATGGCACCAAATGTCATAGTGTTGAGCAGATGGCACCAAATGTCATACACATGACCAAATGTCATTCTGGAACAGAAATAGTCTGCTCTTTCCCTCCCCCCCCCCCCCCCCCCCCCCCCCCCCCCACAGACCAACTTTTTATTGTATACATTTATAATTATTTATCATAGACAATATATCTCTGGGTGTTGTGTCTAAGTAGTATGTTTTGTTTGCCCGCCTAGGTCCAGTGTACTACATCTGCCCACAATATATCTCTGGGTGTTGTGTCTAAGTAGTATGTTTTGTTTGCCCGCCTAGGTCCAGTGGACTACATCTGCCCAGCTACAAACACCTGTACTATAGATAAACACAGACGGAAAAGCTGTCAAGCATGTCGGCTTCGAAGATGTTATGAAGTTGGGATGAACAAAGGTTAGACCTTTCAACTTGGTAAGGGGTGGAAGCAGGCGTTGTAACTGAAATAGCAATATAAACATAAAGTGATATTTCAACGCCAAGGGTAGACAAAGGTACAGAATATAGTCCAAGTAAAGACAGAACAGACAGACCCGACGGGTTCCGAACCTACCATTCCACACGGCACCACATCGCCTCGCCTTCCATGCCTCAAGTCAGACGTGTAACCACTTCTGCCAATCAGCTCTACAAAAATAGAGCTTTCTTGGCAGACCACTATCATAGCATGTGACACGGAAGACGCGGGCTGGCGTGAACTCTGAACCCTAAAGGGTCTGACCGCTAGCCTCATAAACACAACAAGGACTGTTATTGGACCAGACTTTGACCTTTCAACTTGACACAAACCTTTAAACTGGACACAAACTTTTGACTTGGTCATTTGACATTGTTTTTAACCTTTAAACTTCCAGGAAGTCAAAGAAAGGAAAGGAAGAGCAGTGCTAATGGTGCAGGTCTCAAAGGCAAGAGGTGCAGGGCTGACTCTTCTGACTCATCCATCAACTCCACAAACAGCGCTGCCTGCTCCTCTAAAGTAAGCTCACCTACACCCTCTAAAGTAAGCTCACCTACACCCTCTATAGTAAGCTCACCTACACCCCTTAAAGTAAGCTCACCTACACCTTCTTTAGTAAGCTCACCTACACCCCTTAAAGTAAGCTCACCTACACCTTCTTTAGTAAGCTCACCTACACCCCTTAAAGTAAGCTCACCTACACCCCTTAAAGTAAGCTCACCTACACCCCTTAAAGTAAGCTCACCTACACCCCTTAAAGTAAGCTCACCTATACCCCTTAAAGTAAGCTCACCTACACCCCTTAAAGTAAGCTCACCTACACCCCTTAAAGTAAGCTCACCTACACCCTCTAAAGTAAGCTCACCTACACCCTCTAAAGTAAGCTCAACTACACCCTCTAAAGTAAGCTCACCTACACCCTCTAAAGTAAGCTCACCTACACCCTCTAAAGTAAGCTCACCTACACCCCTTAAAGTAAGCTCACCTACACCCTCTAAAGTAAGCTCACCTACACCCTCTAAAGTAAGCTCACCTACACCCCTTAAAGTAAGCTCACCTACACCCTCTATAGTAAGCTCACCATCTTCTAAAGTAAGCTCACCTACACCCTCTAAAGTAAGCTCACCTACACCCCTTAAAGTAAGCTCACCTACACCCCTTAAAGTAAGCTCACCTACACCCCTTAAAGTAAGCTCACCTACACCCCTTAAAGTAAGCTCACCTACACCCCTTAAAGTAAGCTCACCTACACCCCTTATATTAAGCTCACCATCTTCTAAAGTAAGCTCACCTACACCCCTTAAAGTAAGCTCAACTACACCCCTTAAAGTAAGCTCACCTACACCCCTTAAAGTAAGCTCACCATCTTCTAAAGTAAGCTCACCTACACCCTCTATAGTAAGCTCACCTACACCCCTTAAAGTAAGCTCACCTATACCCCTTAAAGTAAGCTCACCTACACCCTCTAAAGTAAGCTCACCTACACCCCTTAAAGTAAGCTCACCTACACCCTCTAAAGTAAGCTCACCTACACCCTCTAAAGTAAGCTCACCATCTTCTAAAGTAAGCTCACCTACACCCCTTAAAGTAAGCTCACCTACACCCTCTAAAGTAAGCTCACCATCTTCTAAAGTAAGCTCACCTACACCCTCTAAAGTAAGCTCACCTACACCCTCTAAAGTAAGCTCACCTACACCCCTTAAAGTAAGCTCACCTACACCCCTTAAAGTAAGCTCACCTACACCCTCTAAAGTAAGCTCACCTACACCCTCTATAGTAAGCTCACCTACACCTTCTAAACTAAGCTCACCTACACCTTCTAAAGTAAGCTCACCTATTTCAAGAAGTGATGTCTTCTATCTTTAGGCAGGCAAAAGGTCCAGAAGTGCATCAATCCTTGAGGCCCTGCAGAAGGCTGACCTTCCTGTACTAGAGAGCTACCACAACCACAGCCTCCCAGCCACACGTGTCCACTTGCTCAACACTTTGATTAAATTAGCCGACAGGGAGCTCGTCTACCTGATTAATTGGGCCAAACATGTGCCAGGTAGGTCACACCATTCACTCAAAGCATTCACTGCTACATATCTGACCAACTGTCCACTACATATCTGACCTAACCAACTGTCCACTACATATCTGACCAACTGTCCACTACATATCTGACCTAATCAACTGTCCACTACATATCTGACCAACTGTCCACTACATATCTGACCTAACCAACTGTCCACTACATATCTGATCTAACCAACTGTCCACTACATATCTGACCTAACCAACTGTCCACTACATATCTGACCTAACCAACTGTCCACTACATATCTGACCTAACCAACTGTCCACTACATGTCTGACCTAATTGTCCACTACATATCTGACCTAATCAACTGTCCACTACATATCTGATCTAACTGTCCACTACATATCTGACCTAACTGTCCACTACATATCTGACCTAATTAACTGTCCACTACATATCTGACCAACTGTCCACTACATATCTGACCTAACCAACTGTCCACTACATATCTGACCAACTGTCCACTACATATCTGACCTAATCAACTGTCCACTACATATCTGACCTAACCAACTGTCCACTACATATCTGACCAACTGTCCACTACATATCTGACCTAATCAACTGTCCACTACATATCTGACCTAACCAACTGTCCACTACATATCTGACCTAACCAACTGTCCACTACATATCTGACCTAACCAACTGTCCACTACATATCTGACCTAACCAACTGTCCACTACCTATCTGACCTAACCAACTGTCCACTACATATCTGACCTAATCAACTGTCCACTACATATCTGACCTAACCAACTGTCCACTACCTATCTGACCTAACCAACTGTCCACTACATATCTGACCCAACTGTCCACTACATATCTGACCTAACCAACTGTCCACTACATATCTGACCTAATCAACTGTCCACTACATATCTGACCAACTGTCCACTACATATCTGACCTAATCAACTGTCCACTACATATCTGACCAACTGTCCACTACATATCTGACCAACTGTCCACTACATATCTGACCTAACCAACTGTCCACTACATATCTGACCTAACCAACTGTCCACTACATATCTGACCTAATCAACTGTCCACTACATATCTGACCTAATCAACTGTCCACTACATATCTGACCTAACCAACTGTCCACTACATATCTGACCTAACTGTCCACTACATATCTGACCTAACCAACTGTCCACTACATATCTGACCTAACCAACTGTCCACTACATATCTGACCTAACCAACTGTCCACTACATATCTGACCTAATCAACTGTCCACTACATATCTGACCTAACCAACTGTCCACTACATATCTGACCTAACCAACTGTCCACTACATATCTGACCTAACCAACTGTCCACTACATGTCTGACCTAATTGTCCACTACATATCTGACCTAACCAACTGTCCACTACATATCTGACCTAACCAACTGTCCACTACATATCTGACCTAACCAACTGTCCACTACATATCTGACCTAACCAACTGTCCACTACATATCTGACCTAATCAACTGTCCACTACATATCTGACCAACTGTCCACTACATATCTGACCAACTGTCCACTACATATCTGACCTAACCAACTGTCCACTACATATCTGATCTAACCAACTGTCCACTACATATCTGACCTAACCAACTGTCCACTACATAACTGACCTAACCAACTGTCCACTACATATCTGACCTAACCAACTGTCCACTACATATCTGACCTAATCAACTGTCCACTACATATCTGACCTAACCAACTGTCCACTACATATCTGACCTAATCAACTGTCCACTACATATCTGACCTAATTAACTGTCCACTACATATCTGACCTAACCAACTGTCCACTAAATATCTGACCTAACCAACTGTCCACTACATATCTGACCTAACCAACTGTCCACTACATATCTGACCTAACCAACTGTCCACTACCTATCTGACCTAACCAACTGTCCACTACATATCTGACCTAATCAACTGTCCACTACATATCTGACCTAACCAACTGTCCACTACCTATCTGACCTAACCAACTGTCCACTACATATCTGACCCAACTGTCCACTACATATCTGACCTAACCAACTGTCCACTACATATCTGACCTAATCAACTGTCCACTACATATCTGACCAACTGTCCACTACATATCTGACCTAATCAACTGTCCACTACATATCTGACCAACTGTCCACTACATATCTGACCAACTGTCCACTACATATCTGACCTAACCAACTGTCCACTACATATCTGACCTAACCAACTGTCCACTACATATCTGACCTAATCAACTGTCCACTACATATCTGACCTAATCAACTGTCCACTACATATCTGACCTAACCAACTGTCCACTACATATCTGACCTAACTGTCCACTACATATCTGACCTAACCAACTGTCCACTACATATCTGACCTAACCAACTGTCCACTACATATCTGACCTAACCAACTGTCCACTACATATCTGACCTAATCAACTGTCCACTACATATCTGACCTAACCAACTGTCCACTACATATCTGACCTAACCAACTGTCCACTACATATCTGACCTAACCAACTGTCCACTACATGTCTGACCTAATTGTCCACTACATATCTGACCTAACCAACTGTCCACTACATATCTGACCTAACCAACTGTCCACTACATATCTGACCTAACCAACTGTCCACTACATATCTGACCTAACCAACTGTCCACTACATATCTGACCTAATCAACTGTCCACTACATATCTGACCAACTGTCCACTACATATCTGACCAACTGTCCACTACATATCTGACCTAACCAACTGTCCACTACATATCTGATCTAACCAACTGTCCACTACATATCTGACCTAACCAACTGTCCACTACATATCTGACCTAACCAACTGTCCACTACATATCTGACCTAACCAACTGTCCACTACATATCTGACCTAATCAACTGTCCACTACATATCTGACCTAACCAACTGTCCACTACATATCTGACCTAATCAACTGTCCACTACATATCTGACCTAATTAACTGTCCACTACATATCTGACCAACTGTCCACTACATATCTGACCTAACCAACTGTCCACTACATATCTGACCAACTGTCCACTACATATCTGACCTAATCAATTGTCCACTACATATCTGACCTAACCAACTGTCCACTACATATCTGACCAACTGTCCACTACATATCTGACCTAATCAACTGTCCACTACATATCTGACCTAACCAACTGTCCACTACATATCTGACCTAACCTACTGTCCACTACATATCTGACCTAACCAACTGTCCACTACCTATCTGACCTAACCAACTGTCCACTACATATCTGACCTAATCAACTGTCCACTACATATCTGACCTAACCAACTGTCCACTACATATCTGACCTAACCAACTGTCCACTGCATATCTGACCTAATTGTCCACTACATATCTGACCCAACTGTCCACTACATATCTGACCCAACTGTCCACTACATATCTGACCTAACCAACTGTCCACTACATATCTGACCTAATCAACAGTCCACTACATATCTGACCAACTGTCCACTACATATCTGACCTAATCAACTGTCCACTACATATCTGACCAACTGTCCACTACATATCTGACCAACTGTCCACTACATATCTGACCTAACCAACTGTCCACTACATATCTGACCTAACCAACTGTCCACTACATATCTGACCTAATCAACTGTCCACTACATATCTGACCTAATCAACTGTCCACTACATATCTGACCTAACCAACTGTCCACTACATATCTGACCTAACTGTCCACTACATATCTGACCTAACCAACTGTCCACTACATATCTGACCTAACCAACTGTCCACTACATATCTGACCTAACCAACTGTCCACTACATATCTGACCTAACCAACTGTCCACTACATGTCTGACCTAATTGTCCACTACATATCTGACCTAATCAACTGTCCACTACATATCTGATCTAAATGTCCACTACATATCTGACCTAACTGTCCACTACATATCTGACCTAATTAACTGTCCACTACATATCTGACCAACTGTCCACTACATATCTGACCTAACCAACTGTCCACTACATATCTGACCAACTGTCCACTACATATCTGACCTAATCAACTGTCCACTACATATCTGACCTAACCAACTGTCCACTACATATCTGACCAACTGTCCACTACATATCTGACCTAATCAACTGTCCACTACATATCTGACCTAACCAACTGTCCACTACATATCTGACCTAACCAACTGTCCACTACATATCTGACCTAACCAACTGTCCACTACATATCTGACCTAACCAACTGTCCACTACCTATCTAACCTAACCAACTGTCCACTACATATCTGACCTAATCAACTGTCCACTACATATCTGACCTAACCAACTGTCCACTACATATCTGACCTAACCAACTGTCCACTGCATATCTGACCTAATTGTCCACTACATATCTGACCCAACTGTCCACTACATATCTGACCCAACTGTCCACTACATATCTGACCTAACCAACTGTCCACTACATATCTGACCTAATCAACTGTCCACTACATATCTGACCAACTGTCCACTACATATCTGACCTAATCAACTGTCCACTACATATCTGACCAACTGTCCACTACATATCTGACCTAACCAACTGTCCACTACATATCTGACCTAACCAACTGTCCACTACATATCTGACCTAATCGACTGTCCACTACATATCTGACCTAATCAACTGTCCACTACATATCTGACCTAACCAACTTCCACTACATATCTGACCTAACTGTCCACTACATATCTGACCTAACCAACTGTCCACTACATATCTGACCTAACCAACTGTCCACTACATATCTGACCTAATCAACTGTCCACTACATATCTGACCTAACCAACTGTCCACTACATATCTGACCTAACCAACTGTCCACTACATATCTGACCTAACCAACTGTCCACTACATATCTGACCTAACCAACTGTCCACTACCTATCTGACCTAACCAACTGTCCACTACATATCTGACCTAATCAACTTTCCACTACATATCTGACCTAACCAACTGTCCACTACATATCTGACCTAACCAACTGTCCACTGCATATCTGACCTAATTGTCCACTACATATCTGACCCAACTGTCCACTACATATCTGACCCAACTGTCCACTACATATCTGACCTAACCAACTGTCCACTACATATCTGACCTAATCAACAGTCCACTACATATCTGACCAACTGTCCACTACATATCTGACCTAATCAACTGTCCACTACATATCTGACCTAACCAACTGTCCACTACATATCTGACCTAACTGTCCACTACATATCTGACCTAACCAACTGTCCACTACATATCTGACCTAACCAACTGTCCACTACATATCTGACCTAATCAACTGTCCACTACATATCTGACCTAACCAACTGTCCACTACATATCTGACCTAACCAACTGTCCACTTCATATCTGACCTAACCAACTGTCCACTACATATCTGACCTAACCAACTGTCCACTACATATCTGACCTAATCAACTGTCCACTACATATCTGACCTAACCAACTGTCCACTACATATCTGACCTAATCAACTGTCCACTACATATCTGACCTAATTAACTGTCCACTACATATCTGACCAACTGTCCACTACATATCTGACCTAACCAACTGTCCACTGCATATCTGACCAACTGTCCACTACATATCTGACCTAATCAATTGTCCACTACATATCTGACCTAACCAACTGTCCACTACATATCTGACCAACTGTCCACTACATATCTGACCTAATCAACTGTCCACTACATATCTGACCTAACCAACTGTCCACTACATATCTGACCTAACCAACTGTCCACTACATATCTGACCTAACCAACTGTCCACTACATATCTGACCTAACCAACTGTCCACTACCTATCTGACCTAACCAACTGTCCACTACATATCTGACCTAATCAACTGTCCACTACATATCTGACCTAACCAACTGTCCACTACATATCTGACCTAACCAACTGTCAACTGCATATCTGACCTAATTGTCCACTACATATCTGACCCAACTGTCCACTACATATCTGACCCAACTGTCCACTACATATCTGACCTAACCAACTGTCCACTACATATCTGACCTAATCAACAGTCCACTACATATCTGACCAACTGTCCACTACATATCTGACCTAATCAACTGTCCACTACATATCTGACCAACTGTCCACTACATATCTGACCAACTGTCCACTACATATCTGACCTAACCAACTGTCCACTACATATCTGACCTAACCAACTGTCCACTACATATCTGACCTAATCAACTGTCCACTACATATCTGACCTAATCAACTGTCCACTACATATCTGACCTAACCAACTGTCCACTACATATCTGACCTAACTGTCCACTACATATCTGACCTAACCAACTGTCCACTACATATCTGACCTAACCAACTGTCCACTACATATCTGACCTAACCAACTGTCCACTACATGTCTGACCTAATCGTCCACTACATATCTGACCTAACCAACTGTCCACTACCTATCTGACCTAACCAACTGTCCACTACATATCTGACCTAACCAACTGTCCACTACATATCTGACCTAACCAACTGTCCACTACATATCTGACCTAACCAACTGTCCACTACATATCTGACCTAATCAACTGTCCACTACATATCTGACCAACTGTCCACTACATATCTGACCTAACCAACTGTCCACTACATATCTGATCTAACCAACTGTCCACTACATATCTGACCTAACCAACTGTCCACTACATATCTGACCTAACCAACTGTCCACTACATATCTGACCTAACCAACTGTCCACTACATATCTGACCTAATCAACTGTCCACTACATATCTGACCTAACCAACTGTCCACTACATATCTGACCAACTGTCCACTACATATCTGACCTAATTAACTGTCCACTACATATCTGACCTAATCAACTGTCCACTACATATCTGACCTAACCAACTGTCCACTAGGTTATACCTGTCTGACCCTAAGTGACCAGGTGCACCTAATAGAGTGTTGCTGGATGGAACTTTTGCTGCTCAACTGTGCGTTTAGGTCTATGGAACATGAAGGCAGGACGCTGGTTTTTGCACCTGACTTTCATCTCGACAGGTTAGTTGTCATTTCTTAGGATGGGGAGCGAGGAGAAGGACATGAAGGTTTTATGTTGAACTCTGTGTATTGTGTGTGTTGTTATGTGTGGTGTATTGTGTGAGCCTCTGTGTGTTGTGTGAGCCTCTGTGTGTTGTGTGAGCCTCTGTGTGTTGTGTGAGCTGTGTTGTGTGAGCCTCTGTGTGTTGTGTGAGCTGTGTTGTGTGAGCCTCTGTGTGTTGTGTGAGCCTCTGTGTGTTGTGTGAGCCTCTGTGTGTTGTGTGAGCCTCTGTGTGTTGTGTGAGCCTCTGTGTGTTGTGTGAGCTGTGTTGTGTGAGCCTCTGTGTGTTGTGTGAGCCTCTGTGTGTTGTGTGAGCCTCTGTGTGTTGTGTGAGCCTCTGTGTGTTGTGTGAGCCTCTGTGTGTTGTGTGAGCTGTGTTGTGTGAGTTGACATGATGACCCCCCTAGCTAGGGGTTATGACAAGTTTACAGATGAGAACATATTCCAGACACCAGTGGTCTGTGACTGGGATGGGAGACGTGCTGGAACAGGTGGCTGCTGTCTCAGAACAGATGGTGCTGCATAGTCTCAACAAGGAGGAACTGCTGCTACTTCAAGCTACAGTCTTGGTCAATGCAGGTAGGTGCTATTCTTGGTTAATGCAGGTAGGTGCTACAGTCTTGGTTAATGCAGGTAGGTGCTACAGTCTTGGTCAATGCAGGTAGGTGCTAGTCTTGGTTAATGCAGGTAGGTGCTACAGTCTTGGTTAATGCAGGTAGGTGCTACAGTCTTGGTTAATGCAGGTAGGTGCTACAGTCTTGGTTAATGCAGGTAGGTGCTACAGTCTTGGTTAATGCAGGTAGGTGCTACAGTCTTGGTTAATGCAGTTAGGTGCTACAGTCTTGGTTAATGCAGGTAGGTGCTACAGTCTTGGTTAATGCAGGTAGGTGCTACAGTCTTGGTTAATGCAGTTAGGTGCTACAGTCTTGGTTAATGCAGGTAGGTGCTACAGTCTTGGTCCGTGCAGTTAGGTGCTAGTCTTGGTTAATGCAGGTAGGTGTTACAGTCTTGGTTAATGCAGGTAGGTGCTACAGTCTTGGTTAATGCAGGTAGGTGCTACAGTCTTGGTTAATGCAGGTAGGTGCTACAGTCTTGGTTAATGCAGGTAGGTGCTACAGTCTTGGTTAATGCAGGTAGGTGCTACAGTCTTGGTTAATGCAGGTAGGTGCTACAGTCTTGGTTAATGCAGGTAGGTGCTACAGTCTTGGTTACTGCAGGTAGGTGCTACAGTCTTGGTCAGTGCAGTTAGGTGCTAGTCTTGGTTAATGCAGGTAGGTGCTACAGTCTTGGTTAATGCAGGTAGGTGCTACAGTCTTGGTCAGTGCAGTTAGGTGCTAGTCTTGGTTAATGCAGGTAGGTGCTACAGTCTTGGTTAATGCAGGTAGGTGCTACAGTCTTGGTTAATGCAGGTAGGTGCTACAGTCTTGGTTAATGCAGGTAGGTGCTATTCTTGGTTAATGCAGGTAGGTGCTACAGTCTTGGTTAATGCAGGTAGGTGCTACAGTCTTGGTCAGTGCAGTTAGGTGCTAGTCTTGGTTAATGCAGGTAGGTGCTACAGTCTTGGTTAATGCAGGTAGGTACTACAGTCTTGGTTAATGCAGGTAGGTGCTACAGTCTTGGTTAATGCAGGTAGGTGCTACAGTCTTGGTTAATGCAGGTAGGTGCTACAGTCTTGGTTAATGCAGGTAGGTGCTACAGTCTTGGTTAATGCAGGTAGTTGCTACAGTCTTGGTTAATGCAGGTAGGTGCTAGTCTTGGTTAATGCAGGTAGGTGCTAGTCTTGGTTAATGCAGGTAGGTGCTACAGTCTTGGTTAATGCAGGTAGGTGCTACAGTCTTGGTTAATGCAGGTAGGTGCTACAGTCTTGGTTAATGCAGGTAGGTGCTACAGTCTTGGTCAATGCAGGTAGGTGCTACAGTCTTGGTTAATGCAGGTAGGTGCTACAGTCTTGGTTAATGCAGGTAGGTGCTACAGTCTTGGTTAATGCAGGTAGGTGCTACAGTCTTGGTTAATGCAGGTAGGTGCTAGTCTTGGGTTAATGCAGGTAGGTGCTATTCTTGGTTAATGCAGGTAGGTGCTACAGTCTTGGTTAATGCAGGTAGGTGCTACAGTCTTGGTCAGTGCAGTTAGGTGCTAGTCTTGGTTAATGCAGGTAGGTGCTACAGTCTTGGTTAATGCAGGTAGGTGCTACAGTCTTGGTTAATGCAGGTAGGTGCTACAGTCTTGGTTAATGCAGGTAGGTGCTATTCTTGGTTAATGCAGGTAGGTGCTACAGTCTTGGTTAATGCAGGTAGGTGCTACAGTCTTGGTCAGTGCAGTTAGGTGCTACAGTCTTGGTTAATGCAGGTAGGTGCTACAATAGTTGAAGCATCCAGGAATGAATGTTTAGAACTCTGGGAGGTTTTATTTGTGTTATGAGAAAGACCAAATATAATTTACCTTATTCTAGTCAGGCTGGTAAAGCTCATGTTTCCTCAACTGAAAAGTCCCGAGTTCAAATCCCATAGGCTATGGAAGTAAACCCAGTAGTAAAATGGGGCTGAAATCTGAGTCACTATCGCAAATATAAGGTTGAGACCTAATTCTAAATTTTGTTTGCGGAAATTTATTCCTACATTACACTATGATAAAGAAGAATTGATTAAAGCATCAGGTCATGAGCTGATAGTTTGTTGTGTTTTGTTTGACAGAAGTACGACGCTTGGATAGCTTTACCAAACTTCAAGAGATGCGGCAAGTTATTCTGGACGTCTTCATGGAAGTTGGTGGCCGGCACCAAGGCTATGGCAGTTGGCGCCACGCCCCTTCCATTCTGCTACTGCTGACCCACATCAGGCAAGCAGGGGAGCGGGGAATCACTTACTTCCAGCGCCTCAAGATGGAAGGGTGCGTCACATTCTGCGACTTGCTGACAGAAATGCTGGATGCCCACAATTCTTCCGGTGAAAGACGACGACTTCAACAGCAACAACATCAACAACATCAACATCACCCGTCCCAGCACCACTCATCACACCATCCCTCACAGCACCCAATGGCGCCAGAATGAAGTGTTTTGACGGCCAGGAGTTAGCTAACTGTGATCGTGGGACAGCCACCAATGTGGGGGCTGTCACACACCTGTCAGACAGCTGGTCAACTTCTCCGGTGACCCTCTCAATCGTGGAGGACAGCAGACAGTTTTTCATGTGCTACAATGACCTTGACACGTAAATAGATTGTTCCATCCCAACTAGTGATCAATTAGCCAGACTGTTGTAGCCACAACTAGCCACTTGCCGCGTCCTGACACAGTGGGCCAGCAGTCACAACTGGACTGTCGTGTGTTGCTCCATCGCTGTCAAACTCTGTACAAGTTTTTAATAAACAATGGTTCTCACTATAACAACACTTGTCTTGGGTCTCACTATAACAACACTTGCCCCTCTGTAAACAATGGGTCTCACTATAACAACACTTGTCTTGGGTCTCACTATAACAACACTTGTCTTGGGTCTCACTATAACAACATTTGTCTTGGGTATCACTATAACAACACTTGCCCCTCTGTAACCAACGGGTCTCACTAATAATAATATCATTTGTCTTGTCCTCTGTAACCAATGGGTCTCACTATGACAAGACTAAAGTACCACTTCTGGTTGACCAAAGTTCTAAAGTCGACAGAAACCTGTGCGTACTATTGAATAGTTCAATGTGAAATGTCCACGTGACTTGCAAGGTACTGGTACTCACGTGATAAGCTTTTGAGCAACCAGCTGTAGATTGAGTACCACTTTTGGTTACTGGCAATTGTTCCGGTTGAAGTTTTGGTTCACAGTTTTGGTTCCTTCAAATTTTCAGATCAAATTTGAGTTTAGGTTTAAGTTATGCCACATACCTCAGCTGAGACTTTCTTCTGATCAAGTTTTTATTCTATGAGTCAACTTTTATACAAAAATATCTCATTAAATATAAAGTTAAACATGTTTTTTTAAGAAATAGGTTTTTTTAAAAAAAAAAAAAAAGAAATAAAGGGCCGTCCATAAATGACGTCATATTGGGGGGGGGGGGGGTAGATGTTGGGACGTCACATTTTTGCATTATAAAAAAGCAATGTTAGAAAAATAATTTTAGCCGTTATTTCGCGTTTTAGAAAACTTTTAATAAATTGTAATAGGAATTGATTAAAAACTATGTTGAGAGAGTTCAGACAAGATTTTGGAAAAATATCGATGTTTTAAGAAAATTCAATTTTGAGGGAGGGGGGGGGGGGGGGGGTTGTAGGTTTATGTGTGACGGAGGGAGGTGGAGGTAAAAATCGTCAAAAATAACGTGACATCATTTATGGATGACCCCTAACTTTAAAAAAAAAAGATTTTCTGAAAGTAATTTTTTTTAAAAACTATCTCTATATATAATTTTCTTCTTGGATACCCTAGAAAACACCAAGCTGTAAGCGTGCCTATCAGCTTCCTCTCTAAGCATATCCCTACCACCCCCACATTGTCTGGTGAGCTGTGATTCACGCTGAATGTTTACAATCGTAGAGCCGGGTTTAGTGACGGCTATTAGGGGCAGATAAGTTAGTTTGAAACTATTTTAAACTTAAGGGAGGTTATTAAGAGGAGGCTGCTTTCACAGGGGGGTAGGGTTTGGGGGAAAGGTGGGGGGGGGGGGGTATCTTCTTTAACGACCTACTGGTAGTGTTATAAAGCAAATATTTTCAGTGGCAGCATTGGTACTGACGAATTCACAAATTATGAATTACTGAAAAGTAGAAAATAAAACAACTAGAGGCGTATGATACGCCGGGAGTCGGCTCGTATCTATATATATATAATTCTCTTCATGGAGACCATAGAAAACACCACGCAGCTTAGCCGGTGAACGGAAAAAAGTCACAGTTTTTGTTAGGAAAAAAAGTCACAGTGGAAAAATTTTATCGGAAAAAAAGTCACAGAAATAAAGTCACAGAAAAAAAGTCACAAAAATCTTTTTAGAAATATTTTCATTAATTTGTTAAGAATTGTAAAATTGTATATGTTTATTGTTGTGGGTTGTATTTTTTTGATAGCATAAATTATTTATAGACGTTAAAAGCATTATGATTTATAACAATTGTAAGTAAAAATACTCTAAGATAACACAACAATCTCAACTTTTGTTACGTGTTTAGTTCAATACGCGGTAGAAAAGTTAATTATAAAAGAAATTTAGGCACATTTTGCCGATTGTAGGAACAAAAGTCACAGGAAAAAAAAAAACACAGGAAAAAAAAACACAGAAAAAAAGTCACAGGAAAAAAAGTCACATATTTTGTGTTGTTGGCGTTATGCGTCAATGACAGCCTTTGAACCTTGTCGGCTTTCTGTTTTGATCCTAAGTTTTGTCATGTAATGAACGTGATAAATGTGGACAGTAAAGGTGGTTGAACTAAACATAACTATTGTTGCCATGAGTTGAGGGCAGCAAGTCAGATGAACTTACCATTTCACGGTAATTTAATATTGGTATTTTAAAAAAACACGATGAAAACATGGACTTCTAATCTTAAGTTTAAAATAATTACAATCTACATACTTCATAATAAATATTTTTAGATGAATTATAAAAATTCCTATGCGTATACAGCCTACACACATTACATTACATTTAATTATCCTAAGTTAATTTGCACTCTCTAAATATTTAATACATAAAAGTATTAACAAATATCATGCAAATATATATTTGTGACTTTTTTCCTGTGACTTTTTTTCTGTGGTTTTTTTTTCCTGTTTTTTTTTCCTGTGACTTTTTTCCCTACAATCGCTTAGCCACCACCCTCATCCCCACGTCAGGTGAGCTGTGGTTCACGCTAAATGTTTACAACCGTAGAGCCGGGTTAGTGACGGCTATTAGGGGTAGATAATTTAGTATTAAACGATTTGAAACGAAGGGGAGGTAACAATTTCTGATTGATCTTTTCTTTGTCTGTAAACGGCTGCTTTCACTGGGCGGGAGGGGGTAGTGTTGAATTCACAAATTATGAATAGCTGATAAGCAGAAAATAAAACAACTAGATGGCGGCGTATACTACGTCGCGGGTCAGCTCGTTTTCTTTAATAAAAAAAACTTAGAAGTGCATTCATTGGTAAAGGTGCTCCTTATTTTGTAAAATATGTGCTCAATTTCTTTTTTGTTATCTAAAATCAGTTTTTCTTAAGTATAAAAAAAATGAAATTTACAAGAATGCGCATTTTTTTATTATCAGAGCAAAGAAAAAAAAACACTATTAAAAAATTCATACAATCTGTTGTTTTTGAGATTTAAAAAAAAACCTTTCAAATGTCCCATTGAAGTTACAAGCTCTCTGTTAAAGACACTTCAGACAGGCACACAATATCCACCACAATAATAAAATGATGGTTTTAAAAATGAAAATTATCATAAGTCTAAAAACTTTTAGCCAAATCAACAGGAGCACAATGAATAGCTCAAGACAATAAAATAGTTGGCAATATGGCATTGAATGATAGTAAATATTGACAATAAAAGGGTAGACATGATAACAATGTAAAACATGTTGTCCATCAAGTGGCAGATAGCTGCCTGGGCCATTCAAAGCTCAGCTAGATTTTATTTCTTGCTTGCATATCAGACATGAACAGAGCGCCGTAATCTCTACAACTTGAAGCTACGACCATTGCTCGTCTATTGACCTGTACCTAACAATTCAGTGGCGGAACTAGAAAAAAAAGGGCCACCCCGCTAATAAAAATAATTTTGCCCCCCCCCCCATATACACACACACACACACACACATATATATATATATATATATATATATATATATATATATATATATATATATATATATATATATATATATATATATATATATATATATATATATATATATAAACACAGAATACAAAGATAGGATACTCATTTCTGGCCTGATCGGTTTTTGAAAAAATACATTTCTTTTTAGCGCAATTTCCATACGGGCAATTGCGATTATTAACTCGTCATTTCTGGATGGATGGATGAATGGATGGATGGATGTGTGTCCGCAGCTTTAAGTCGTATCTCCTCCTCAACGAAGCAATATCGAGGACTAGTTCCAAAAGCAAATATGTTAAGCAGGTTCCAAGGATGATTGTGGGCCCAAAAAATTCCGGAATTCCTTCCTGGATTTCCCGGAAAAACGAAAAAACCTCGAACAAATGCAGTTTTTGGTCCATATATCGGTAACCAGACCACTTAGCGACTTGAAACATTTACCAATCGATTCCTGCCATAATTTAGACCAATATTGCCGAAGAAAGTTTTCAAAAATATCCTTTCGTTCGGTCACAAAAAATTAATTAAGAACATTTAAACTGAGCATCGTGTAGGCCTACTCGTTAAAATAAAACTATTTCCGTTGATATATGTTAATATAGTTGTCTTTTTTTTACTTATTAATTCAAACGTTATTTTTGTACCCTATTAATTTATTTATAATTTATATGAGAGTGATAGGGAGTTACAATTACAAGGTTTTGTTTCGCTAGGCCTAATCATTTTTTCACATTTTTTTAAAAATTAATTAAGGAAATTGCGCTTAAATTGTCACTAGACTTTTTATTAACTTGTTTTTTTTCTATTAACACATGTGTGTGAGTGCATTAGTCTGTTTTGAATTTTAAAAAATAGTTTTAGACTAGTTTATTCAATACGTTTGCTGTAATACTGCCAGCACCCCAGATTGTAGCCGGTCAAAAGAATATAAAACCTGAAAGCTTTGTATGTGTAATGGTTTCTCGTGTTATGTTTATTTTTACAAGCTTTTATTTAACTCACTTCCTCTGTCGTCAGTCTATCTGTCTAGATCGAAACGCCGGAGCGAAAATTCGGACACTTCTAACTGACAGATACGGTTCGTAATTGGTACGTGGGTCAAGACATGAAGACAATGCATTATGACATTAAATGTGACTTAATTAGATGCCTAATTAATTTTTTTATGGATTAATTAAAATTTTGACCGAATTAGTAGGCAGATCTATCCACACGCGTCATGAAGGCCGTGTTGGGCGTGAAGCGAGAGAGGGCTCTACGTCAAAAGCGCGTCATCACGTTCAATCGGCGCGCGAAGTCGGGTCAGCAGTCTAGTTCTTTACCACTAGACTACGCCATCCTATAATATTTTACTGAAACTTTAGCTATAAACTTGACAATAGTTTTTAGACATATAACTATCCTAATATATAAAAGGCCATGTGCACTCTTCTCTCTCTCTCTCTCTCTCTCTCTCTCTCTCTCTCTCTCTCTCTCTCTCTCTCTGTCTGTCCGCAAAATATTTTCGCCGGACATCACGTCAGAATCGGCAGCGATATATGGATACCTTTATACAGACTTTTGTTGAAAATAATATGTTAG